TGTACTTTTCACTGCATTTCTAAACAACTTTCTTATAGTTTGTTGTCCCCTACCTACTATTCCTTCTTAGCCTCCATTTCAGCCCAACATGTCCCAAAGAATGTATCGAAAGCCTTATCCAAACCAGAATGGAGGGATGCTATGAGAACTGAGATAGAAGTACTTCATAAGAACAATACTTGGGATATTGTAGACTTACCTGCTGGGAAGGAGCCTGTTGGTTATAAATGGGTTTACACCATAAAACACCATGCCAATGGACAGATTGAGAGGTATAAAGACCCCTTATTGCCAAGGGGTATACTCAGGTCTAAGGTTCAAAATTTCAATACTAAACGCCCCATATCGGGTGTATCGTATCGGTGGCTTAACAATATGCCCCTACAGGGGTTGTATCAAGGCCTAACCTGGTTCAGGGGGTAGACCAACCTTAAACTGACCCCTCTAAACTAGTTTCAAAGAAAAAAGGGGGAGAGCGAGCTTCGATACAGCCGATAGGCCTGTAGGGGCGTATTGTCCTGTATCGATATTTTAAACCTTGCTCAGGTCTATGGGATTGATTATATGGAAACCTTTTCTCCAATGGAAAATATGACACCTATGAGAGTTCTCTTGTCTTTGGCAGTAAATTATGATTGACCTCTTTACCAGTTTGATGTCAAAAATGCCTTCTTGAATGGTGACTTGACAGAAGAGGCATATATGTCCCTTCCCCCTGGAATGTATGGTAAGGAGATGCAAGGTAAGGTGTGTAAACTGAAGAAATCTCTTTATGGACTCAAGCAGTCTCCTCGTGCTTGGTTTGATAGATTCAGGATTGCACTTATTCAATTTGATTATACACAGACACAGTTAGATCACACTCTATTTGTGAAGAGAGCTTCTCATGTTACCTTCCTCCTTGTGTATGTGGATGACATTGTTATCACAGGTAGTGATGCACAAGAAATTCATGATGTTAAATACTTCCTTAACTCTGAATTTGAGATTAAATATTTGGGGGAGTTAAGGTACTTCTTGGGCATTGAGGTTGCTAGGTCTAAAGAGGGACTTTTCATCTCCCAAAGGAAGTATGTGTTGGACCTTCTCACCGAGTCTAGGAAGCTTGATGCCAAGACTGCTTCCACTCCTATTAATGTGAATCATAAGCTCTCGGCTAATGATGGGGAGCTCTTGACTGACAGGGGAGTGTTTCAGAGATTGTTGGGGAAGCTTCTATATCTGTGTATGACTCGGCCAGACATTTCCTATGCTATGAGTGTGATTAGCCAATTTATGCATGCTCTTAGAGACACACATATGGCTGATGCAAAAAGGGTGTTGTGTTATCTTAAGGGTACTCCTGGAAAAGGTATACTCTTTACTAAGCATGGGCATATTAAATTAGAAGCGTATATAGATGCTGTCTAGGCAAGCAGTATAGATAGCAGAAGATCCATATCGGGTTATTGTGCCATGGTGGCTGGAAATATTGTCTCCTAGAAGAGTAAGAAGCAGTCTGTTGTTGCCCGATCTTCAGTTGGGGCAAAGTATAGGGCTAAGGCTCATGGGGTGTCGGAGTTGTTGTGGCTCAAATCTCACTTAGAAGAGATGGGAATTGATTATGATAGGCTGCTAATGTTATATTGTGATAATCAGGCTGCCATTAACATTGCTCATAACCCTATTCAGCATGACAAAACCAAACACATTGAGGTAGACAGACACTTCATATGAGAGAGAGTGGCCTCAGGAGAAGTGTGCCTCCCTTTCATATCTTCAGAGCAACAACTAGCAAACATCTTGACCAAGGGAGTACCTAAGGAAAAGCTCCAACACTATATAAGCAAGCTGGGCATGATTGACATCTATGCTCAGCTTAAGGGGGAGTGTAGAGAAATTGGGCCTAATGAGCCTTAGTTTGGTGGTTGAATGCAGTGTTTTAAAGGTGCAAGGCGCAAAAAAGGCGAAGGGGTCAATTTGCACCTCAGGCGCAAGGCGCAAGGTGCAAGGCAAGGCGCGCACCTTTTTAAAGCAAGGTGCAAAAATACAAAAAGAAATGCTAAAAAATAAAAAAATGTCAGAAAATTCAAAAAAAAGCCAAAAAGTTCAAAAAAATAAAAAAATATATTAAACATAATACTAATAAAAAATATAAACTTAAATTTTAAAATAAGTGTTTTAAAAAACATATTATCTAAAATTAAAATACATAAACATAAGATGTAAAGCATATTCAAATGAGAATTTAAAAATAAAATCAAACATATAAAACATTTTCAAGCATGTAAAACCTCTAATCTCTTTTTTCACTCAATTGCATTACTTCAAGTAGCTAATTTAATGTAAACATATTACATTCTTGATTCTACAAGCCGCCTTTGTGCCACGCCCCCCGAGGCAAGCCCAAACAAGTCCACGTTAGGTCTTAAATTCTTAGTTTTCACACAAAAAATAATGATTTTGTAGTTTTAATTGCTTTTTAAGACTAATAAAATGTCTTAAACAAGTCCACATTACCACTGGTTTTCTTCTATAGAGAATCAACATGTAAAAAGTCTTTCAACAGAGGCTAATCGTCTCTTTGATCCTTCTACTTTTCTTTTGTAGAAGAAAAGGGGGAGAACCATGTGGAGATGCATAAGAGTGGAATTGATTTGGACCATTTGGGAAGATAGGAATGCAAGAATTTTCCTTGAGAAGGGAAGACGCATGGGTGTAGTAAAACAACGTGTGTTGACTAGAGCAATCCATTAGTGTAATGACATCAAAAACAATCTTGGGAATTTAACTTTTAGTGGTCACTCTCCTCACCAGAGGTCTTCCTAGAATCTCATCAAGTCACCTTTACTAGATCCAGATCTGATGAGGCTGAGGAAAATATCAAAAATAGAGGAAATTGCCATCTGGAGGAGGGTACAATGTTTCTCTCAACACCAGTTTTTCAGCTTATCCTTTTATGTTGCAAAGAAGAAATCAACTACAGGCATAACTAAATATCCAAATGCAGACTCAATCCAGCTCAAAGACAGACTATAAGTTGGATCCAAAAGATTCTTGAATCCTCAGCAGATCAGGTAAAACTAAAATCCTGTCCACAATCATACTGCCAATGTCAGCACAAATCCTTTCAGCCCCCTCTCTCTTTCCATCAAACATTCTTCTATTTCTTTCCAAGCTCCTCAACAAATAGGAAAGGGAACAGAATTCAGAAAAGTTTTGCCTTCTTACTTCCATATAAATGTGGCTAATAAAAAAAAATCTCTTTAGAACAGCCTGGTTGGATCAATTGAACCATGAATAATGAGAAGAAACCTCAAATGAAGGCTTCCAGTCTACAATGTACAAACAAGTGCCTGACGTCTTCTTAATTCCCACCAGACATGTAGCATAGACAGCTAACCATGCATATGCTTCCACCCTTGTGGGAATAGCAATGGCTGCATATGGCATGATTATTAGGACCAATTAATAAGAGGCCACAAAAACTAAAGAGTGAAGAAACAGAAACCCTTGCCATGACTCCAGTAAGAAAAACAGCCCAAACTGATGGAGGTGCAGGTTGAATCTGACAAAGTCATGAAAATCTGGAAAGCATGCATTGTCTTCTCCATCCAACTGTACAAAATGCCCATCTATTATCTTTTGAATTTGTATAACTTTCTTTTCATAATGGCTAATGTCATTTTATTAAGAGGAATAGCCTTCGTACTTTAATGGTGTCACTTTTACAATGTTTTCTTAGGTCAACCCAATTTTTACATGAATCACCAAAATTTATCCTTTACACCCCATTACATAAAAGAGCTAAAGAGGTCAACTACAATTTCTACAAGGTCAAACCAATTTCATTTTCCATTTTTACCCTTTAGAATTCTATTATACAGAAGGTAAAAAAAAGTAAACCAACAGTCAAGCCTACCAATATCTTCTTTACAATTCCGTACCAAACCAGTGTTCCTTTTCATCTTTTTTTTGATGAGTTGTTCCCTTTCATCTTCTTCTCCAGTTTCCCAACCATAGATAACTACTTCCAATGGAAATTACGAAACCAAGCCAAAGATAATTGAAGTCAAACTGATTTTCGAAACATACTTAAACATAAGATTCATAACCCAAGTTTAATTCCACCTTCTAATCAACCCTCTCTTAGCATAAATCTCATAAAACTTTCTCATGTTTTAATTTTTCAAGATGAAAGAAGTAAAGCAACAGATTAATGACATAATTAGTGCAAGCAATTGAGTATTATGAAAATCCAAACAAATAGCTAAAGAAAGAGCACATTAAATCTAAGCAAGGAAGCATCATAGAATCTAAACATATAAGTAATGAACAACACACTAATATATACTATATGATATTATGTATCGTAGAGCACAAATAGAAAACAAAATAAGATAAGGTGCACCCCTTGATAATTATGGTATCATGCTTAACATGTGTAAATGACCTTTATCTATCAAAAAATAATAATTATGGTATGATATGACTTTTGTATCTGCTATATATCTTTGTAAATCAAGGAAGGAGTAAAAGGAATATCCCCTTCCACAAGGGAAAAACAGTACATTATTAGCAAGATTGGTTACTGAAATAATTGAGGGAAGAAAACTAGCATATGGAGACAGTAATATAGCATTACAAGGACTAATCTCCTGAGTAATGAAAGAAGAAGAAGTAACTTGGTTTCTGGAAAGTGGAAACTACATGGGAGAAAAACATTTCACTTATGTTGTTTACGACAACCAAAAGCACGAACTCTTGACATTAGATAGATCAATTATACAAACTTCGACAAAACTAGAGTAATTATAGGATTTCAAAATGAATTCGTTTGCACATCTTACTCATACTCCTTGATAATTATGATAAAACTGAAATAATATCACTGCACTTGGCTTCCAAGCGCTCACTAAATAAATCATCCATAGCATATGAGAATGTTAATAAAACTTCAAAAAACAAATTAAATTATGTAAGTTTCAACAAAGAGAGCAACATAGAACAATTACTCTTACTGTGTATCTCTGACTGAGAAGCTTTCCCGAAATATGATTATTGGAAGCATTTCCCTAAGTTCCTTAGTTAAGCCCGACTCGCATGACTGTGACACAGTGATGAGAAAGAAAAGTAGAAATAGAATATCATTAAAAGCCCGAAAGCATAGAGTTCATAAAGTCAACAAGTATAATAAACAGAACAAATTGACGGTAATAATCTTACTCTAGTGATGGCCCCTCTCTCCTGGTAGGATGTCCTCATTCGCAGAGATGTCCAATCTACCCTCCTTCGCCGAAGGTAGAACAAGTAGAACAAGAATAAAAGAATGAAAGTGAAGAAAATTGGTACAGAGAAGATAAAAGCTTGGTATAGTTTTAATTCAGCAGAAGCCGTAGAGCAACAACTAGGAGGATCTGGATAGCTATGAGACATCACCAACCTCTTTCAAGGACCCCAAATCCCATAAATTAAATAAACCAAAAATTTAAGAGCGATCCCTTCAATTCAACAAAACCAAGATCAGGAAAACAGAGAAAGAAACGGAAAAAAACTGCTCTAATGTCGCTCAATCAAGCGAAAAGCAGATAACCCAAATTACGAAATGCAGAGAACACAAAACGTATGCACCAAGCTTAAAGAGGAGAAATACCCAAATCAGAAAAGAGCAAAATAAGGAAAGCTGGAAAGACCTGATACCAGGGAAGGAGCCCTAGAAGAAAATCCCTGAATCCCCAACCCCAGACCAACCAAAACACAGGAAGCAAAACAGAACATAGAAATAAATTAAACAAACGAGATTAATGAAAAATGCAGCAAGTTTGATTCCCCCAACACAAGAAGGATAAAAAAACAAGAATGCAACACAATTCAGAAGCATGCAATTGCAAAATGTTTAGATGATAATGAAACCTGTCAAATTTGGGAACTGTAACAGAGATTTGAAAAATAAGAAAAGCATCAAATCCGGAGGCCCAAATTGAATGAGGTGAGGCTGCTAATGTCAAGAGAATAAAACTCGAAGCAAATTTACAGGTTTCCCCACATGGAAGCTGGCGACCCAGCAGGAAGTGTGACACCCAACCACGATGCCATTTTAGGGAGAATCCACTGACTTGTAAGAACGTAAGATGCCTTCTTGATGTTCTTTTTCTTTGCCTTTGTTGGGCTTTTTAACAGTAAGTTGGCACTTCAGGGTTGACAGTTTTACTGAAGAAGGCAAACAGAACAGAAGCTCGGTTATAATTTGTGTCCGTCCATTCATGTTCAGTCTACTGAGTACTGACAGCAGTGGAAGCTTGCATTGTTCACTGTTGTTTTTTTGTTTCGACCAGAAAATACTTCTGATATACTAGCGGGGTCCGTGCAATGCACGGGAAAATGTAATGTTCAATTTGATAACAAAAAGTATCAAAATGATATATTAATTGTTAACATGGAATTTGTCAGGGAAAGGGAAGATAAAGCAACAAAAACTAATAAATATTATAAAGAATGCAATATTGTTTAAAATAGTTAATCTTTCTTTTAATAATTTGTAACAAAAATAATTTAGTAATATAGTAATTTGGATTAGTTATTAATATTTTTAACAAAAATAATAAATTATTAATAATTATTTTTTCATATTATTTGTTAGTGTTACGTTTTATGACAAAAAAAGATTAAAAGGATGCCCTAATTGTTGGCCACCGGAAAATTAATTTCAACAAATCTTGATTCCTTTGAAGTATTTTTTTAATAGGTTTCAATTAATTTTCAGAATTATTTTGCACTTTCAGTATTTCCAGTATTTTTTTATTAATTTTCAGCAATTCCCAATAATTTTTAGTAATATTTGCATTTTTCAATAGTTCTTCAGCAATTTTCAGTTACTTTAAATAACCAAAATGTGCATTTTCATAATACCATGGGTTTTCAGTATTTTTGTTTTCATTATGCTTCAGCATTTTTTCATTATTTTATGAGTAATTTTTTCAATAATTTCTAGTTGATTTTTAATAAATTTTCACCAGAAAATTAATTTCATAAAAAAGTAATTTAGTATTGCATTTTCAGTATTTTAATTAATTTTCAGTAATTTTTATTAATCTTTACTAACCTTTCCACTTGAAAAATAACTTTTTTGTCTTTTCAGTATTTTCTTAATGATTTTCAAATATTTTGTGATGTAACCGTTTTTGGTTATGTACCATTTTTTGTGATGTATAAATTTTTTTGGCTAAGTACCTCGTTGTTTGACCCGGTGGCGACGTGCCTTGGTGATGAGCTACTTGGTGGCGAACTCCCTGGGGAAGAACTGCTTGGTGACGAACTGCTTGGTGGCGAACTGCCCGGTGGCGAGCTCCCTGGTGGAGAGCTACTTGGTGACGAACTGCCGGGTGGCGAACT